AGGGGGAGGATTTACTTTGTTACATAAATTCAAATTAACACATATTTATAAAAATATATTATACATTAATTTAATTAATATAACAAAGTATCAAATAACTTTTAAATTTTATAAAAATTTGTAGAGTTAATATATTTAATAAGAACTTTTAATTTAAACTCTAAATCAATAAAATTTAATATTGTAAGTTATTGAATAAAAGTAATACTATCTTCATTCCTTTATAATAAGCGTTTTCTATTTTCTGTAGAATGATTTTATGTTTTCTATTATACCCCTTTTTTTTTTGCTTCATAATAAATTTATATTAGTTATCATATATAAATTAATTAAAACTTAGGTAAAATGTAAGGATATAATTGATAACATAACAATTAATGTTGTCTTAAAATTTGAAAATAACAAATAAATAAAAATAAAACTTTACTAAAAATATGACAAATTAAACAAAGTAAGGGGAGTATTATAAAAAAATATTTTTGGAATAATTTAATCTCCACATATGCACATGATTTTAACAAAAAAAATATTTTGAATAATTTCACAAGTTAACAAAAGTCAAAATTTCTATTTTCATATTCTCAAACCATTAAATGGTTTTATTTATTTTTAATATATGTATTAAATGTAAATCACTATTCTATAGTATTTTAAAGTGGTGAATAAAGTTTAAATAATATTTTTATTGCTATTGCACAAGTTAACAAAAGTCAATGTGTTTTTTCTTTTATATTTATAAAACATTAAATGCTTTTATTTATTTTTTAATATCTTTATTAAATGTAAATCATTAATTATTCCATATTTTTAAAGCAATAAGTGTAAAAATTATTTTCATTACATGTTAACAAAAGTCAAACTTTTTTTCTTCATTTTTTTCAAAACATTAAATACTTTTTTAAATGTATTAACTGTTTTTTCATATTCTAAAAACATTAAATGGTTTTTTTTAATTGTATTAAATGTATTAAACATATTTTTTTTTCATATTCTAAAAACATTAAATGTTTTTTTAAATGTATTAAATGTTTTATTTAATATTTTTTTGAATATTTATACATATTTGCACATACTCTAAAAACCATGACCAAAACTCTAAAACATTAAATGATTTTATTATTTTTATTATTTCATTTAATATTTTTGAATATGTATATGTGGGTGGACAAAATTAATTAATTAATTAACCTAAATTGTCAAACTTTTGCACTTATGCATATTTATTATTCTCTTCATTTCAAAACTTTAGTTCTTTTAATTTTTATGCACATATTAAGAAATATTTAATTTGTGTACACATACATATATATTGAAACATTCACAAAAAAAAATTATATATTGAAATTCTAAAAAAAATTGAGAAAAGATCCAAAATTTTGAAATAAAATAAGTTCTTTTTGTTGAATATAAAATTATCTGATCGAGTCATTAAATTAAAAACATTTATTAAAGACTTACATAATTTTATCAAAGTCAAAAGGAAATTGATACAAAATCACTTTACTTTATTTTGATGATGATATAATATTTAAAGCATAAGTGAATTTACATTATTAAATAACATTCTAGCAAATAAGAATATAAAAATATTGTAGTTGATTAAATTCATATTATTTAAAAATTTATTTGTAATAATTAAATTGTATTATATAAAATTTGTTAGGTGTTATCAGTATATTAAAAAAAATATATGATCTTTCATATATATCTATCTATTACTCATAAACTGGGGATGCTTTGACTGATTCGCGCGCCACAAGCGGGTGTCATATTTTTCTTGAATTTATTAGTAATATTATTATTTATCTTGAATCCTTTAATAAATGCATTGTGTTTAGCAATTATGCAAGTGCTAAATACACTCTACAATGTGTTTCCTCTTTATACTAATTGACAACGATGTTGTATCTTGAAAGAGTTATAATAATAACCAAATCATTATTAATCATCAATGATGTTTGCTTCATTTATTTCACCAAATATTTTGGCCTCAATGCACATTGTACGTGTACAAAGAGAAATTACACACTATGTCACATATTGATACGAACATACATATACTGTATACTTGGTATGACCCAAATTATCTTGAAGAATTGGTTACAACAAATTAAAAAGCTAAAAATGAAAAAGGTCATAACCATCTGTGAGAATATATATGTGATGATCTAATGCAAAATAACACATTGACAAATTAGTAATTCACGGACCAATCGATGTAACCAATCGATGTAATGCATGAATGGTTTTTTTTTTTTTTTTTTTTTCCTTCAAGTTTGTGTAAAGTAATTCACTTTTTCTCTACTTATTTTAGAAATACTATTGTCATTTGTAAAAAAAGTTGGGTGAAGCAAGTATCCATTTTCAAGTTCTATGTTTGAGAAGATATTTGATGCCATCGTTTTATTTCATGTATTTCAACCGATGATTACCCGTCACAAAAGAAAGGGATATAACGATAAAGGGTCATTTATCCAACAATTAATTGACTTGAAAAGATAACGTGTAAGAAATTTATCACGACAAACATGTCATGCAATTAACAATTTTAACATGGTCCAAATGTGATAGAATATATATATATATATATATGGACTAAACTACAAATTTATAAAAATAACATTTAGAAACTAAAAACATATTTATTTCTTAAAAAAATTATTAAATTATACTGCTAAGTAATTATTAATATTATATATATATATATGAAAAAAATTAGTGACTACAATTAAATAAAATTTATTTAAAATTAAAAAGTTGACAAAAATTCAGGATTAAAAAATATTTAATATCTTTTAATATATAACTTTTTAATTTTATCCTACATTATTATCATTAATTGTATTTTGTGCAATATGTTGGAAAGGGTCATTCCCTTTAGCACTATCGTTTTAATAATATATGTCATTAAAAATTATTTTTATTTATATCATAAATACAGTATATGTTAATATATTATTAAATACATGTAAGTATAAATTATAATGACACACAATATATGTTGTTAATAGATTTATATATACATATATTATACTTATAATATGTGATATTGGGAAAAACTCAAATCCTACCAATCCTAGATCATTAAAAAATGGTCACTCACCATTTATCCATGTACCAAGTCCAATATAGTGTTGGACGTGAGGGGGTGTATCGGGAAAAACTCAAGTCTCGCATCAACTAAAGATTAGGCAATTAAATAGTATATAAGTGAAAAATAACCTTCACCTTACAAGCCGATTTTGTAAGATTGAGTTAGACTTAAATTTACTATTCTAAGATGATATCAGAGCCATCTAGACCCATTTTAAATGGGTCACCCACTATTGATACATGGTTCATGGGCACATATGAGGGGTGTATTGAGAAAAACTTAAGTCTCGGCAATCCTATACTAGATCATTAATATAGAAAAGAGTCACCCACCATTTATCCACGTACTAAGCCCAGACGTGAGGGGGTGTATTAGGAAAAACTCAAGTCCTACATCAACTACAATGGAAAACAACCCTCACCTTACAAGCTGATTTTGTTAGGCTGAGTTAGACTTAAATCCAAATAACTCTTACCTTACAAGCCGATTTTGTAGAGTTAAGTTAGACTTAAATCCACTATTCTAAGACGTAACACTTGTTGTATGTCATTATATGTAACATTTTTTTTGTAGTGTTTTAATATTGACTACTCCATCTAGACAATAATTTTTTATGCTTTAGACTTTATTTTTGTTCCAAAGTTTTTTATGTTCTACACATTCCAATGATATTAATTATTATTTTTCTTCAAAATATAACTTTATTTGACAATTAATATTTTGATAACCATAATTAATTTTACTCTACATATTCTAAAATATTAAATGAGAATATTTTATAGTTAACACATTAGTATTAAATGTATTTCTTATTCTTAAATGTATGCAAAAACTTTAAACATAAAAATTATATTTCAAAGAGTGTAAATTTATTGAGTCACTCTCGCCAACACCGTCACTGCATTATTTTTTTTATTTTTAATAAAAATTTATTAAAAATTATAAATTTTGTGTCCCGTTGAATTAATTTTTATCTATTTTAATAATTTAATTTATTATTATTTTTAGATAATCATAATATTAATATAAAATATCCATCATCGAAAGTTATGACTAATCTTCACCACAAAAATCATGAACACATATAAAGTGAATATTCACTTTTAAACATAAATTATAAATACATAAATTGTAAATTAATGTTTATGATTTTAAATCAATAGAGAAGTAAATAATAAATATATGTAAGCATCTTTTCATTAATGCATCATAGAAAAAGGCTAACCAAGTCAACCTTTTTTCCTAGGACATAACATGCGGATGCGTTTTCAAAGTCCAGGCTAGCATTTCCTCTATGTGTTCACACGTCAACAGATTTTTTCAAGAAAAATAATAATAACATCTACAATATTATTTTGACAATGAAAAGCTTCATCTTCATCCATTCATATATGTTTTTTTTGCACTGTGATAATGAGAGTTTAAATAATATGTATAAGATAATATTATAATAAGTTCTAATATTATTATTTTTATTGATAAAAAAATACACATGTTATCTTAGAAAATGAGAAAAAAAGTTGTACCGTTAATTTATATAATCATCTCATTTCAAACATTATTATTATTATTATTATTATTATTATTATTAATTTGTTGACTTTTTAAATAATTATCTTAAAAATTATAACGATGATAACTTTTTATTGGTTGAATATATAAACCATTAAAACTTAAAAAAATTATAAAAGTTTACTTAGCTACGGATATACGAAGTTAATTACAGTATATATGCAACATATAGTAGAGTATCTGCACAAGTAAATTGAGTATGGTAAAAAAGCAATAGATAGGAGTTTGGTAGCCGTCATTCGTTGCACCATCAACTCTCCCAAGAGCAAAAATTACACAAAAAGAAAAAGAAAAATACTACTCCTTGTATATGTCACTCACTCTCTCTCTTTCTCTCTCTTTCATTAGCAATTACACCTCCTTCGCTCACCATTAAATGCAATTGCACCATCTCCATACGCTCAGCAATAACTCATAGCATAGCTGCCACATTTTTCTCCATCTGTTCCCTTTCTTTTCTCCTTCAATTCCTTTGTCCTCTCCCCTTCTTTCTCTTCTCCCAGTTTCTCCCTTTCAAACCAACCCTTTTAGTTACCATCACAACACACATCAAGCTCTAGCTTTCCATGGTTGCCATTTATAAGCAACTTTATTCCCCTCCAACCCTTTTTCTCTCCTATGCAACTTTCAAAACCCTCCCTTTTTAGCCCCAAAGCAGATCTAAATACTCATCTTCTTCTACCTATTCAAAGACCACCCTTTGGTAAGGACAACTCTCGTTAAAGGTTGATTTCATATACTATACATCGTTCACCTAGTTTTTCTTTTTTCTCCATAAAAATTGTAAAAACACTCACAGAATTTGAACCTAAGACCCTGTTCACACAGATTTGAGATCATTGATTCACAAAACCAAACTGTTCATACCGATACCAATTTTTTTCTTTTTAAATTCTTACATTTTTTGGGTGCATATAGCTAGGGTTGCTAGAATGCGAAAGGAACGGTAGGTTTGCCGTATTTACATATGTATGAAAAAAAAGCAAGAAGCTTAATTAGTTGGATATTCCCTGAGATCTTCATGGGACTTTTTATTTATTTATTTAATTTTCACTTTCTGATTCTGCTTGTTTGGATTTGCAGCATGAAAAATTCGTCAACGCTTATTTCTGCGCATTTTAATATGCCAAGTCACGTTTTTGTGGCTGGGTTTTTCGTGTTGCTTATTATGTTTACATGTTTCCTTTTTTAAAGTGAGAAACGCTTTAGCCTTGTGAGAAGCTAAGAAGAAACTCCTCCTGTGAAGGTTTTGGATTGAAAATCCATTGATAGAAGAGAGAGAGAAAGAGAGGGGTTGAATTGCATAGAGTGTGAAATATGCCAGCTGGTATTATGATTCCAGCAAGAAACATGCCTTCGATGATTGGAAGAAACGGCAACGTTGGTGGCTTTGGATTATCTTCAGGGCTCTCTCTTGGCCAGGTCAGTGCTACTACTACCTTCCTCATTGCTTCATCTCCTTCTCTCGAATTTCCCCCATTTTTGTCATAACTCGGTTCTGATTCTGATGCCAATTTGATTGATGTGTTCGGTTTGTTCAATTTGACTTTATCCTTCAAAAGAGCCTTTGTTTTTTCACGAGTCAAAATTGGTCTCAGTACTGTGAACCCACCTCACCTCTCTCTTGTATCCTTCTCGTTATTCGTAAAACGCGTTATTCCTTCTTACTGTTTTGAAGCTACTACTTACTTGTTACTTTCCCCAAAAACCTCAACCTAGTCAAAATCCCCGTGTTTTCTGCACAACTCTTATACCAAATAATTTAAATTATCTCATCAATTAGTCCCCCCTATGCGCCTATGTATGTGAATTAGACACAAAAGAAACAAAAAAAAAAGTTTGGTTGTTTTATGTTGGTGTTTTATTTATGTTGGCTCTTTGAGTGTACTGCACTGTACTATATACCTCGTATATTGTATTGTTAGATTGAAAACCATAAGGCTTCGGAAACTCAAAGATCTGTAGAAATGTTCCAGCCAAACCTGATGGAAGCTAGTCATCAGCTTCTCCCCCTTGACATGCCTCAGAATTCAGAGAGCGATGTCCCAAGAATCCGCGAAGATGACTTTGACAGTGCCACCAAGTCTGGTAGTGAAAACCAAGAAGGTGCTTCCGGTGAAGACCAAGACCCTCGCCCAAACAAGAAGAAACGCTACCACCGCCACACTCAGCACCAGATCCAGGAAATGGAATCGTAAGGCACCCTTTTTTAATGTAACTTTTTTCTTCCATATTCGAGTCAGATAAGACCACTGTGGGTGAAAAATTTTCTAAATCTTTAACACAGTCATATCTGGTAGACTGGGACCATGAACATTCTTGTGTCAGTTGATCCATGGGATTATGGTTTTTGATGCAATTAAATTTGATTAATTTGTTTTAATAATTTTTTTCTTCAGATTCTTTAAGGAGTGTCCTCACCCTGATGACAAGCAAAGGAAGGAGCTGAGTCGAGAGTTAGGGTTAGAGCCATTGCAGGTTAAGTTTTGGTTCCAGAACAAGCGCACTCAGATGAAGGTACACACGTGGATTTTGTTTTCTTTTTGGCTTTTGTTGGAAAGAGAAAACGCAGAACCCTTGACGCATGGGGTGTTTTCTTGCAGACCCAACATGAGCGCCATGAGAACACACAGCTGAGAACTGAAAACGAGAAGCTTCGAGCAGATAACATGAGGTTCAGGGAAGCTCTCAGCAATGCCTCGTGTCCCAACTGTGGTGGACCAACCGCTATAGGAGAAATGTCATTCGATGAACATCACTTGAGGCTCGAAAATGCTCGCCTCAGAGAAGAGGTACCACAATTTGGAAGTTTGCTGCGTCGTGGATATGTATTAAGAAGCAAGGACTATTTAATTTAACCTGAGAAAACCTTTTCTTCTTCTCATACATAACTAAAAAAATGTATCATCTTAATTTCACTTCATTTTCATACAATTGCAAAAGAATATTAACAAGGTTTTGTCGTTTTTACTATTTATTATGAAAACCTTTCAAAATAGGAAACAAAATAAAATGATATTTTTACAATTATTTGTAAAAATGAGAAACAAGAATAGATTTTTTTTTTATAAACTCAATGAACCAAAATGATGGACACTTAATTCTATTTACACAAGATTTTTTTTTTCTTTTTTCATCAATGGGATTAATGAAACTTCGTATTAAAGATTTACAATACTCGCATTTTATTTATCTAATTGAGTTAGACTCCGTAGATACAAGCTTTTGAGTCTGAGTCTTCTGAACAAATATTCTTATTATATAAGATAGTCTCTAAAAAATCCTTACTATGATTTAGATCAAAAGAGGCTAGTTAGTTGAATTTTGATTAACTCTTACACATTTTGTTGTTCATATTCAGATTGATAGGATTTCTGCCATTGCTGCAAAGTACGTGGGGAAGCCTGTGGTGAGCTATCCACTTCTTTCTCCTAATTCATCTGTGCCTCCTCGTCCACTGGAGCTTGGGATTGGTGGTGGTTTTGGTGGCCAAGCTGGAGGCATTGGTGGGGACATGTATGGTGGAGCTGCAGGAGATCTTCTTAGGTCAATCAGTGGACCCACCGAAGCTGATAAGCCCATCATAATAGAGCTTGCTGTTGCAGCCATGGAGGAGCTCATTGGAATGGCACAAATGGGTGAGCCTCTTTGGTTAACTTCCCTTGATGGCACTGCCACTGTGCTCAATGAGGACGAGTACATCAGGTCCTTTCCTCGTGGGATTGGTCCTAAACCCGCTGGCTTCAAGTGTGAAGCTTCACGAGAAACTGCTGTTATTATCATGAACCATGTTAACCTTGTCGAGATTCTCATGGATGTGGTAAGCATATTATTTATATCTCATATTAATTAAAAATTTCTGCAATGTAATTTATTTCTAGTTTTTGACACTAATTAAATTATGTATTGTGTTTTCAGAACCAATGGTCCACAGTGTTCTCTGGCATCGTCTCAAGAGCCATGACTTTGGAAGTGTTGTCAACAGGAGTGGCGGGGAATTACAACGGTGCATTGCAAGTGGTATAGTATTTTATTCAACATCCATTTTCTTATATGATATAGATAATATCGTGTTGAATCTCTATTGTATGCAAAAATTCATCAAACTAGCATTAGTTACGGTTTTTCAAATAAAATTAGTCTCTACTTAATAAGTTAAGAGATATATGTAACAGAAAAAAAAAAAAAAAAAAAAAAAAAAAAAAAAAAAAAAAAAAAAAAAAAAAAAAAAAAAAAAAAAAAAAAAAGTACGTACAAATATGTAATGTTCATGTATAAAAATACATTTAAATTTGATTTATTGTGCAGATGACAGCAGAATTACAAGTACCCTCACCTCTTGTGCCAACTCGAGAGAGCTATTTTGTAAGGTACTGTAAGCAGCATGGCGAAGGGACTTGGGCAGTAGTGGACGTGTCCTTGGATAATTTGCGTCCTAGTCCTTCAGCCAGAAGTAGAAGAAGGCCCTCAGGTTGCTTAATTCAAGAAATGCCCAATGGCTACTCAAAGGTTAGAAACTTGGAATATAGCATCATAGGGAATGAAATCATCTTTCTTTTATATATATCTCCAAATTAAACAATAACACATCAGCAAGAAAAAAAAAATTCTTCTCTTTTTTAAGTGGTACAGTGTTTCTGTTTAGTTGCTAGCATTTTTAATTTTTTTAACTAGCTTGTAGAATATATTGTAATAAAAGAAAAACTGAAGGAGATTATAGATGATTTGAGTCCTTGTGGTTGTATTTGGTATTTATTTTTGTTCTCAATGTGGCTTAATATTTGCCCTAGGTCATATGGGTTGAGCATGTAGAAGTGGATGACAGAGGTGTTCATAATCTATACAAGCAGCTTGTTAGCTCGGGGCATGCATTTGGTGCAAAACGTTGGATTGCAACCTTAGACCGACAATGTGAAAGGCTTGCTAGTGCCATGGCAACAAACATTCCCACAGTAGATGTTGGAGGTATATATCAATGAACTCATACTCATTGTTTTTTTGTTTTTTCTTAATTAATTAATAATTGACCTTATTATAACATTCTAATTTGCTAATTAATTAGTGATAACAAACCAAGATGGGAGGAAGAGTATGTTGAAACTGGCTGAGAGAATGGTTATAAGCTTTTGCGCTGGAGTGAGTGCATCCACTGCACACACATGGACAACACTCTCTGGAACTGGTGCTGATGATGTAAGGGTCATGACTCGTAAGAGTGTAGATGACCCAGGAAGGCCTCCTGGCATCGTTCTCAGTGCTGCAACGTCTTTTTGGCTTCCAGTGTCACCGAAAAGGGTTTTTGAATTCCTACGTGATGAGAACTCCAGAAGTGAGGTAACGTACTCAAACTAGGCAGCAATTATGCACCAATGATTGTCTTCTTATATCCAATTTTCTAGCTGCATTATTGTTTGATCATAGGTTACTATAGACATCCTCCATTTGGTAAAATTGCTTTGTTGGGGGTGTGATGTATGTCTCTATGTTGATATGAAGCACTCATAGTTTTTAGTTATCATACGTCAAATTTCTACTTAAGTTTTCTCATATCAATTACTTTTTGCACACATCCTTTTCCAATTGCCAAAGACATGGTGATCACGAAGGCCATCAAACTTTGTTCCATATTATTTTGTGTCATTTGACTTTTCACTGATTAATTTTAATGAATAATCAGATTTACTACCCCCGACAAATTTTTGAATTATGCTAGACTTTTAGATATATATTTTACATCAATGTTGTGTTTCAATTACACTAAAAAACCAAAAAAAAAAAAAAAATACCAAAGAATTAATGAAGAAAATTGTTTTTTTTATCCCTAATTCTAGGATCACAAAATTTTTAGTGATATATATTTTTTAAAATTATATAAAAATTACTTTGTTACTAGTTTTATTTTTTTTTCTTATAGTAAAAATTATCCGTATCTTTTTTTTATATATATAAAATGAACATAAATAATTAAGAACAAATTTAATTAGTAAGCAGAAGATTAATTGCACATTTTAATATCCAAAAAATAAGTGATATATAAAATGAACAAAAGTGTTGTATCAAATTCTTGCAATTAATTAGCGTGTTTGTGGGTTAAAATTATATCTTGATTAAATTTGTTAATTTTATGATTCATCTAACTTTTTGAACCTCTTTGAGAACAGTGGGATATTCTTTCCAACGGTGGAGTTGTCCAAGAAATGGCACACATTGCCAATGGACGAGACACTGGAAACTGTGTCTCCCTACTTCGAGTGAATGTAAGTTGATCTCATACACACAGTGACATTGAAAATTAAAATATATTTAAGATTGAGTTTGTTAATTTAAAAATGGTGCATGCAGAGTGCGAATTCAAGCCAAAGCAACATGTTGATATTACAAGAGAGTTGTGCAGACTCAACGGGGTCTTTCGTGATATATGCTCCTGTGGACATTGTGGCAATGAACGTGGTTCTGAATGGAGGGGACCCTGACTACGTGGCACTTCTCCCTTCAGGATTTGCTATACTCCCAGATGGGACCACTGCACATGGAGGTGGCATTGGTGACACTGGACATGGTGGCTCTCTCTTGACTGTGGCATTCCAAATATTGGTTGATTCAGTTCCAACAGCTAAGCTTTCTCTTGGATCCGTTGCTACTGTCAACAATCTCATTGCCTGCACTGTTGAGAGAATTAAGGCTGCTTTATCTTCTGAACCTGTTGCTTGACCTAATGGATATCGGTAAGAACTATTGCAATATTTTAATTACCTTTCTGGTCTCAATAAATTTATAAACTGTACTTTTTTTTTTGTTAAAAATGTTTCATTTTAGTATTTCTATAAATATATATTAAACAAAAATTTCCTGTTATAAGAACTAGAATGTAAAATTTAAATAACTATATAAAAAAACTAAAAGAAATATTTGAGAATATAGAAAGTAAAAGGTAAAATTATGAAACTATAGGAACTAATGCGTTATTAAAACTCTAATTAAACACCATAATTTTTCCTACTTGTTTTGCATTTTATGACTTTGAGTTTAATAGGCCTTGCTTTGTTAGAGTAAACATTTTTATACTATTAAGGATTAGGACTTCAAAATCTCATCTAATTTCATGTGTGATCATATGAGTACTAATACACTTGATTCTGAATCTTCATATTTTAATGGTGTTTTTATTGGTCAACTTTGGATGCAGTTTAGAAGAAGGATAAGGGGTGCATTGCATTTTGGAGAAATGGGGAGATGTTGGGAACTTCGGCTTTATACAAAAGACGATGAGAAGTCAAGAGCGCACCTTGCATGATCCTTTCTTAGCACCTCAACACAGTGCTGAGAGGATTAAGGTTCGGGAATTGACTTCCCTGGAATTAGTAAATGCTAGCTAAGAGCTTAAATCAAGACCTTACTTCTCTTCACCTTCCCAAGACTAAATATTTATAGTTAGTGTTAGTTTTTTCAATGTTTAGGTTGTAGCTTTGGCGTAACCTCTTTTGTTCCTTCTATTGTTATTTGTGTTCTAGGTCTCGTCAAGCACCAGTACTATAGCTAGTAGTTGGGAAGCTTGCACCGTTTGTGTAGTGGTTAAATTATCACTACACCTGTTTGACCCTTTTTAAGGTTTAAGGTTTTAAAATGAATGTTTCTTTTTCAAATTATCAAGTCTAATTCAGTAACTCAAGTCTCATGGGTTATTATTTTGTATTTTGTTATTTCTAGAATAACTTAGGGATGAAAATGTGTATCTAGATAACATGATATCATATCCGTCTTTATACTCGTATTTGAAAAAAAAATAAAATCCTATTTATGTAAATTAATTTTAATTTATTCTCATACCTATTAGTATTTATATATAATATATATACTCGTACTCGCAAAATCGCACTCACTAACTTAAGTGAAAGGTTGTCACAAAATGTTTCCAAAGTTTTAACCAAAATTTATATTTAATATTTAATTTGATATGATTTATTAAATCATATTTTAGTTTTGCATCGACTACAAAATTATTTAAAAAAATTATTTAAGCATTTTTAAAATTTTACTGTCAATATATAAAATGAAAAATTATTCATTTAATATATCATTTGACAACATAGTTAATATCCAATAAAAATTGAATAATTTTAATTATAACAAATATGTTAAGTAATAATAATATTTATAAGAATTATTATTTATAGTTTAAAAGTAATGCATATATATTTAAAAATGTAATTTTTATATATAGTTTGATATTCCTAGTGAAGTATAAACTTTTTTTTAAAAATTTAATTCTTATGCAATGTCAGTACAAAACTTTTTATATTAATTAACAAAACCTTATTATTTTTACATCTTTCTATTCATTAATATGGCTGCGATATGGTGAATTCTTTTTCGATTACTATGTGATTTTTTTACACTTATAATGCATATAAATTAGTTTTTTTTATATAAATATTTTCATTTTAAAAATAAATTAAGATTTTCAATATCATTATAATTCCTGGAACGTTGTCATTTTGTGTGTGTATTTTTAAAATGTATATAAAAATAAGATAACTGAGTAAATGATAGAAATGATTGTTTATGATATCACATAATGTCAAATTTTTGTGTTAAAAAAATTTGTATAACAATATTTATGTTCAAATAATGAAATTGATGATACATAAAAATGATTGTTTATGATATCACAATGTCAAATTTTTGTGTTAAAAAAATTTGTATAACAAATGTTCAAATAATGAAATTGATGGTACATAAAAGCTTAGTTATTTATGTATTATTAATTTGATATTTTTACATTTTTTTTTGTGATAAATTCTATCTCGTATCTCATAATATATAAATAATAAAAATTAAATAACGTAATTCTTTATAAATAAAATTAAATGTGTTCAGGTATAAAGTATCACAATCTTAACTTAATAAGATAAGATAATCAACTGAAATTACAAGAAAATAAAACTAGTGTTTTCAAAATAATTCAACCAAAACAGTATCCTAATCTAGTCCTAATTATGTCTTAATATCATATGTCTTATCATAGTAAAATCTAACACTAAAGCTTAAGCTTCATCATCAATTTCTTTAATTTCATGCTAATGATCACTTGCATAACAATCAAGAAAAATAACACAAAACAAAATGAGTGAAAAACATCTTACTCTGACTCACGATACATTTTCACCTTTTTAACACCTTTTCATTCTCTTGCAGTCTTGTTATATACATCACTTATCAGATATATATATTTTTTTTTCTCTCTTTTCTTACTATCTCTCTGATTATGAATATTGAATAGGGTGTATATACTCAAAGGAGAATCCCAAGCGTGTGGTTCAGCGGTAGGGGTTGATCCACGCTTAAGCAAGGTCAGGGGTTCGAATCCTGCCTTGTGTATGCAGCCGCGTTAAATCTTGGGGTCAGCTATCCCACCCTTTGAGGTGCCTCCAACATAGCGAGGAGATTAGTCACTGCTATCAGCGGTGGATACTCCAGGAACGAACAAAAAAAAAAAATACTCAAAGGAGTGTCAGAAAATTTTCTCTTGATGTATATGTCTACTCTTTTTGGTTTAAGGACTTGTCCAAAAAGAAAATCAAGACATTTTAACGCCAGTTTTATATTAAAAGTGCCATATGATGAATATTGAGAAAAATTAGTGACGTGACTTAGTGAGAGTTGATATTAATTTTGATCGTATTAGAAATATTTGGGTTGAAGTTGAATGTGAGTTTTAAGCCCGTTTGGTTGGGCCCAAGTGAAGTTGTTTAAAGCGAGTCCAGTTAAGTTGTGAAAGAAGCGAAGAGTAAAAGATGAGCAGCGAATCAAGGCCGGTGCCTCGGAGAGAGAGTCCATGGGGAGTGACCGGAGAGAATCATCCTGAACCCAAAGCTCACCGCTGCAACGACCGCGTTGAGGATGTTATCCAGGTTTCCCCTTAAAACACTTGGGGCACAATTGTAACATACTACACTGTTCCTCATGGAATTCTTTTATAGGCTTGCTTTGAGGGAAACCCATTCAAGACTGTTCCAGGACCCTTCAAGCTCTTCTGGCAGTGCATGCGTTCAAAACCCGGGTCAGATTTTCAATTCCATCATTTTATTAATTGATTCAATGTTGAGCTCCCAAAAGACTTTTCTTTTGGAGATAGCCTAGGAATGTCGCAATTTTTAAAAGACGTGATAAAGTTGTTAGTGTCAAATTAACATAAAATACGAATCTTAAATCATGAGATGATCAATGTTTAGGGTAAAATGTTATACTTTATCTCATTATTGTGATGTTCTCAGATGATTAATGAATTGTTGTAAAAATTTAGGATTTGGCTCTTCTAAAGTGAGCCGATTGCACTTTTGAGGATAAAGTGTAATAATAACTATTAATTTAAGGGAGGGCACTTTGTTATATATGTATTTGATTTTATTACAATTTTTAATCACAATCTAGCATAGCTGATAGATGGATGAGTTCATTAAACATGTTATAAGTGGTTCAATACTTCAATTTCTGGTTGTGTGTATGAAGAAGGCTTTTACGGGAGAGGCAAAACCTATTTGGGTAATCTCTAGTTGATCAACTATTGTGAGTGTAATTTATTCTCTGAAGTCAACCTCCTCACTTTGGAGGAGTCAAATCCAAAATTTAAAAATAAAGCTAGGAATATTTGAAGTGTCCATAAAGGGTCTAACATAGATATGTGCTACATAGATGTGACTCAGACACAGCTACTATTTGAAGTCTGTTTTTCTTTGGAGATAACATGCATATGTCTGTACCTTTATAACATGAGCAACATCAGTACTTCTTGAAATCTGGAGAGGCTTTAATAACAAAGGGCCTGTCCTAATAAGGATCAAATCAATTGCTGCTTGGGGTGCTTGTACGCTGAAGTTGGCTATTTGAACATTATATCTTGGCTTTTTCCATACAAGTTTTCCAGTTACTTCTTCATACTTTTGACATTTGTTTTGTGGCTATTGCAGTGAGGAACCAACAGAGCCATTTACTTATCTAGATTTGGATCCTCCAAAGAGAGAGGCAAAACCTGAGTAGTGCTGAATGTTGCTTTATTGGTTTCAAATTATCCCTCTATGTGGATGGTTTATATGAAGAAAATATGTAACTAAGTTGTCTTTGTTGCTTAATTGGCTACATAAAACAGACGTCCAATGCCTCTTCGTTCTGCTTTTGGATGGTACTTGCTCAATAAAACATGATTAGGTGCTTTCTTGAATAACTTGTTTGATGTTATAACACCATTAATGAGAGTTCTGCCACTTAATTACTCTTTTGTTTACGATATATATGCGTGATAAATTCCAATTCTTACTTCTTGGTCTACTGTCTGTATGTAAATTTAAGATGATGAAGTATTCTTCTTTCCTAGGTATTGTAATGAGGTGATGTGAAATCTTATGTACTGATGTCAATGGCTTGTGTGACCAAAACACAGGATCCAGATCAAAGGATTTATTTACTCTAGCTCTGGATTAGTGCGGATAATATTCGTTTGTATTTAGAGAGAAATTCTCTTGCAATACTGCATGGCTATTGGCTAACTACTCAATTGTGAAAGAAGCTCTTATCTTAACCCAAGTTCCATTAGGCCAAAATTTAGAAGGTTTAGCGACCTTTGGTTATGGAGATCTAGTGTAGTAAAATGTAGAAGGCTTAGAAGCCCTTGATTATAAGCCCCGATATACCAAAGTGTAGAAGGATGTGTAAGCCTCAATTAAAAGTGTAAAGATGGATTCTAATATATCAAGCATCCCTTGGTCATTCTTAAACTATCAAGTGACTTAAACCAAATCATAAAAACATGGTATGAAGAACCAAATTATCAAACAATAATGCATGCAGCAAATATCACAAAACCAACCAGAGTATGTACACTACTAGATTTTAATCCTTTAGCAACATTTTCTTGTTTACATTTGTTAAAATGTTACTATATATTATATAAATATGTTATTTTGTAACAATTTTTGAAAAATGTCATTATAGATAGAATAATATTTTGTATTTCAATATTATTCTTTCCAATTATTTTCAAAATTAAAGTCCCATATCGAGTAAAAATTTTTTACATAAGTTAAAATTAATTATTATTTTATAATAGTTGATAGTAATATTTAAATTAAAATTAATTATTATTTTA